AATTGTAATAATAAACTAGAGAAAAGTGTAATTTTATCAAGCACTATAAAATCTCTTGAGAATTCATTGATGAATGCAAATTTCCTTTTCTTGTCTCTAGACAATTGAAAATTGTGAGCTTTTTTTTTGCCTATTATTTATTTCAACGATTAATATTTCTATACAATAAATTAAAATACTTTATATTAAATATTTAAAAAAAAATACAATTATATAAAAATTTTAATTAAAATTTCAAAATTCAAAATCATATTTTCCTTTTATATCATAGGTAATAACAAGTTTATCAGCAAAACAAGAAGAAATACATAATCAAGTAGTAAATGCAAATGGTAGTAATGTATCTCGTAATGCAACATTTTCAAGAAAATCAATGACATATCCACGACGAATATTATCATCAACACCCCGTGAACAACAACAACAAGAGGAAGAATCACCTAAAATTGAAAAATCTCTTAAAGCAAATGGTTTAATACTTGAAATTGTTGATAATCCATCAGCATCAACAGCTATTGAAATGGAACGTAAACGTGAATTAGTTTTACAACGACAACAACAACGTCAAGAAGCCTATGAACGACGACGTCAAATGAGAGAAATGGAAAATTTAAAACGTGATGATGAACAACGTAAAAAAGATAATGAAAGTTCAACAAAAAAACTTGAACGTGAACAAAGACGTGATGAAATATTTCGACAATATATAATGAAAAAAGAAAAAAATATATCAAATACAAATGATCATACTAATGATGAACATCCAATTATTAAAATGAGACCAAAAAGTTCGACTTCGACAATAATACAAAAACCACCTATTGAAAAACGACAAACTGGTAAATACTTATATTTTTATATCAGCTTTATGATGTTTTATCCAGAGGGGTGCCCGAGGGGCGGCGCCTCCCCCGAGACTCGCGACGAACTATATGGCTTGCCCTCCCGGATTTTCAAATCGCTCCTTCGGAGAAAAAAAATCAGGATAAAACACTGGTTTTTCATTAGGAATAATTTCTTTTATGATTATGTAAAACTTATATCAAATATAATATTCTCACAATCCATTTGTTGTAAAAGTTTATACGAGATTAAAATATAACAAAGCGTAAAAACACAACTAAACTGTTTTTGACCAAAACTGCGAACGAAAACGATTATCGTATGCTATGATATCATGTAAACTGACAGATTTGATGTTCTTAAATTAGGATAGAAGCGAACAGTGATTTATCTACTGAGTGGGCGCCGCCCATCAGAAAGTTCGACTCGCCCACTCGGAAAACCTAGATAAAACACTGAAAGCGAATTCAAAAGTTTTCATATTAAAATGTTCTTGTTAATGTTTATTTCAAGTCGACAATCAATGTTTGTTGAAAATGACGACATTTATTTAAAACATATCGTAGCAGTGCAATATCTTCATAGTAATAAAAGTCATTCATCATTGAGAAGACTTTCCTCCGCATTCAGCTGATTTGTTTTTTTCGTTTGAGCTAAAATTATTGAACATTTGTTTTCGATTCTTTTTTATTTTTAATAATAATGAAGATATACTAATTTTTAAATCTAATTTCAATGGAATATAAATATTTAGTAAAACAATAGAATTATCTAATACAATAAAACGAATTTTGTTTTTTCAATTGTTTGTTAGAGATACTACGTTCTAATTAATATTATAAGTTGATAATATATTACGATAAATCTACAAGTTTATAAAAATTGTAAGTATAGAAAACAAAACAGCTTGTTAATATATTCCCCTTTAGTACTAAAATATGAAATTTACATGTGTTTCTTTAATCTTATTATACTAATATAAAATACAGCATAGTTATTTTTTCTTTTTTCAAGAATAATCAATCGTTAGGTCTTTGAAAAATATTCATCGAAAAAACAAACAAATAATTTCTGCTATAGGTTTTTTAAGAATAATAATAAGAAAAAAATAAATATTTTAAAATATTATTTTTTTTTAATTTTCTTTATAGGTCCAATAGTAATATCACCATTTGGTACACGAATAGATAGTATATCTTCAACAGATGTATTTAATAATAATACAGATACAAATGAAACAATTACAACACCTGCATTATCATTTGTTCGTATGGCTGAATTACGTGCTAATAAAACATATTCATCATCAACAAAAATTGATTCACGTACATTACCACGTTCATCAGCACGTTCAACAATTGAACCTCCATTACCACTCATTCCATTAAATGAACCACGTTATCCATTAGCTAAACCATTATCAGGTAAAAGTAATAAACAAACAATAATAAATGCATTAACACAAGTTATACTTGCTGGTCGTGTTAATGATCGTATACGTGAACAAGTATGTGATGAAATTGAACGTAATATAGATAAAATAAAACATTTTATTATTTTATTTCGTGATTCACGTTTACAATTTCGTGGTATATATACATTTATTCCAACAGTAACATCCGATTCCCCAATACGTATTGAACGTTTATATGGACAAGGACCACGTGAAATAACTGAAATAATGGTTGAAAATTTTTATAAATATAATAATGGTTCAAAACAATTTTCTCAAGTACCAATTAAATCATTTAGTGTTCAATGTGATGCTATAACAATATTAAATAATTATTGGACTCAACAATCGGCGGCTACTAAACGAACAACACCAACAGCAGCAGCAGCAGCACTTCCTACAAATCCGTCTGATTAAATTCTTTTTCTTTTTCTTTTCTTTTTTTGAACAATGTATATTGATATGATATTGTTTTTAAAAAAAAAATAACAGTGCTTTTCTTGTACAGTTTTGTTCTAGTTGTTGTTTTTCTTATTCCTATTCAGCATAATTGTGCGTATCACAGAAAACAAAAAAAAAAAAGACTGGTATTATTAATAATGACAATCGAATTAAATTTAACACTATGTTGTTAGAATTAGAAAAATCTTCAAACATCGATTCATAATATTACATATTTATAATTAACAAGAGTAATACTTTAACTGATTAAAGTTTGGTTAAATACAAATTTTAAATTATATCCTTTTATTCTATGAAATTCAATTGTTCTTTTATTTGAAAGAACATGTCATGTTACAGTAGCTGACATAACGCCCTGTTTTTTTTTTCTTTAAATTCTTACTTTTTATACAAAAAGAAAAAGGATGACAAGTTTAATAACTCAAAAAAAAAAGATGGTTACCTATTTGTAGAAATGCTTTTTTATATAATAAAAAAGAAAACTTAATTAATAAAATGAGCAATGAAGTTCCATCGAGAATTTTGAGATGTGTGATCAAAAGCAAAAAAAAAAAACATTTTTCAAGAAAAATCCTACGAAAATCATGTCGTTTTGTAGAAGATTAGGTCTCAGACTATCTTTCTATACATTTATATCGATATTGTTGATGAAAATTTGCCTGTTTTTTTTAAGTGATGTATTGACCGCTTTTGAATTAGAACTATGTGCATCATGATATCAACTTTGATTTCTATTTTTTTGTAATAAATTATATTTGAGTTTCGAAATTGTAGAAGATTATTCTTGCAGTATTCATTTGAGATGTCACCTATACTATTTTTATAGAGCAACTTGTGATGCAACGGAAGATATACAGAAAGTTATCTTTCCATGAAGTTTTAATGTTCTGTCATTTAGGAATCTAGAAATAAGCATGTTTTAGACATTGATAAGGCGATTTCCTTTGAGAATAGAAATATGAACCGCGTCTAAAATATTGATTGCTCTAGAACAATAACATGAAACCATATGATACAAAATGTATTGTTTATATTTTAACTTATTTTTCTATTCTATATGTGTATATTTCATTTTTAAAGTGATATTAAATCTTATGCTAATCATTATTAAATTTGAATTAGTTCTACTTGTTGTCAAAGTAATTTTTAATCAACATAGATTAAGATTTAATTTATAAATTTAACAAATTAGTATGAAATAGGGTAATAAAACAAACAATATTTTGACATAGAATAAATATGTCAACGATTTAATCCCTTCTATTAACGTTTGATATACATTATATTTTTAAAATTCCTAACAATAGACTTTGCCAGTTAGGATAATTAAAGCGCGCGGGCGGTAAACATCTCTAATCCAAAGTACAATCATTTGCTATATTTTGAGAATATGGATAGTATAAAATTTCTAAGAAATTCATACAATTGATCAATTTTATCATGAAAAAAAGTAATATCAACAAATTTAAAATATCATAAAGACTAGAAATTATAGATGCTAGATGAAAAAAAAAAATGTCTAATATTAACTTTAAACAATAGATTTGACGACATACGGAATAATAATATATTGTTCTACTATCAACAGTTGATATAGTATCCTTTACTTGGTATATGATTTCTAACTTGATATAACTACCACTACCTATATACCATTCGATACGTCACGTTGTTACTCTGCAAAACGATATATGTGACTTTTAAAATAATGGATAGTTATCTTATTCGTCAAGGTTTTCTATCAAAAAGAATTAATCATACTATTGAAAACAAAAAAAAAACCGTTCATTTTATCGAAACGTATTTTTAAAATATTGATGTTGTTTTGTTTTTTTCAGTTGAAATTTTCTATACATTAAAAAAGAAAAAGCCCACTCAAATCCGCCTGCACTATTTCTTAAGTACATTTATGGAGACAAATAAAAAGTATCTACATTCAACTGTAAAAATAACAAACAATTGATTTCTCTTTATGTCAATTAATGTAATATTAAACTTTGAACAAAACAAATATGAATGTCAGATCTAAACATGTAAATAGATATATTTTTTTGTGTGTTGTAGTTTATTAATTTCAATAAAAAACAAATACATCTACGTGAGATATATAGAATATTATTTGAATGAATGTAAATGACAAGTACAATAATGAAAAATATGATGATGCTTTATTGGTTTTTATAGATATTGTTGTTTGATCAGAAACTAAAAAAATCAATAATAATAAAGTGAAAATTTTGTTTTACTTTGTAATTTGATCATTTTTTTTTTTTTTTTTATTACTTTTATTTCGTTTAAGTATTTGCATACGTGGTGTTGTTAGTTCATTGTTTTCTATGATTTTTGTGTTTGTTAAACGACGATGTTCTTCGAATTTAATGAATATTTATTTTAATAACAGGAATAAAAACAATTATATTTTACCTCGTAATTCAATAATAGCATGACTTTGACCAGCCATTGATTCAGCAAAACAACCATATAATCCAAAGTCTAATTTTTCAATATCTTTTATATATAAATTTGTTTGTATAATATTACCATTTGTATGTTGTTGTTGTCGAAATTTCGATATTGTTTTATTATCAATTCTATGCCAATAAATTTTTGTATCAAATGGTACAATAGCTGAACAACGTAATTGTATAGATTTTCCAATACTACTATGAATAAGTGTTGATTGAGCTTGAATTGATGGTGGAACTAAAATTTAATCGATAACAAGGTCATTTCTTTTCGTATATTACATATAGTCTACTCTTGTTCGAGGTTAATCTTATGTATAAATAGAAATTCAATGTTAAATGAATATGAGAAATTACATTTTATAACCTTCGAAAGTACGTCGCTCTTTTTTTTTTGCTATTATAAAATGAGCAAAAAAAGAAAAAAAAACTAGATTGCCAGTTCACATTCTAATTTAAGGTCATAGAACAAAATGTACTTTATTTTTTTAAATCCTTTAAGAATATTTTTGTTTACAATATTATACATGATTTCATTTTATATAAAATATTTGTCAAATGTTGACAATTTACATTTAAATGGTAATCTGTGAATAACACATTACTTTATTATTTCATATATTTAAACATTAATTTTTATCCTATATATTTAAAACCAAAAGCTGAGTTTTCTGACTTAACTACTCAACTTAAATCATCTGATTGACTTTGTATATATATGACATGAAAAATTTCAATTAATTAAATTGAATTTCTCTTGCTAATATATTTTAATCATAGAATATATCGTACTCGTATTTCTTGTTCTTTTTTGTTTTATCACAGTTTAAAGAATGATATTTACCAATCAAGGATAGCAATAATACATAACATATCAAATTTTTTTTTTTTTTTTTTCTTCGGATGATAACGATAGTCATGTTTCTTTAATATACATACAGACACATACGATTACATAAACACGCGCACGCGCAGAAAAACCGAAGAAGAATGAGACCAAAAAAAAAAACAAAAAAAAACGATGAAAAACGATATTATTTGTTACACAAATTAAAGAAGAAAAAAAAATAATAACGATTGGAATCTGTTCACTAAAGAAGAAATAATACGGAACAAAAAAAGAAAGAGATATTTGCAACAATAATAATAACAAATATTTAATGTTAAGCAAAGAGGTCATATGCGACATTTTATGAGAAAGTAGAGAGATTATTTTTAATGTTTATTTTTTGATTTTTAAGAAAAAGTTCATATCAATTGATTAACAATCGATCATTTAAAAAAAAAATGAAAAACAGAAAGCTTTCAGCGACTAGGCGGTTGGACTGTTCGCCTTACTGAATAAACGTTAAGAGTTATAATGATACAGAAAAAAAAAAGAAAAAACCTAACTAAACGTAGCTGCAACTGTCCAGCAGCATCTACGACTTGTACATTTGAATGAATACATATACACTTAGTATATGAGACTATGAAAAGAAAATAATACAGACATATATACGTACAATAGACAACATAATGATGATAAATGAAAATGGTATAAGAAAGGTGAAACAGAATTACATCACCGAGTTCGACGAAGAAAAAGCAGGAAAAAAGTTCTTTCGATATTTCTCGTAAGCTTTCCTTCTTCGTCTTATGTTTTTCGTAAGATATATATCACAGCGGTAATTGAAGACAACAATGATGAATTTTTTTTTTTTTTTTTTTCTTAGAACAATGTCAAGTTAATATTTATACTTGCTAAATAATAGCTGGCAATCCACATCTACAATCTTCAACAACCAAATTTGGTATATATTTACGTAAAACAGGTCCACCATTTGTAATTGTATACATAAGTTCAAGACCACCTGTACGTGAAAATGAACAACAATGTATTGATTGTTGATCAGCTTGATTAGTTTTTGTTTTTGTTATACTTTTATTAGAATTTAAATTATAACGATGAAGTAAAGCAAGATTATGTGCTGCATTTGGATGATTTTTTTGTTGGGCATTTTTAACTTCAGTAAATTTAAGTGATGTACCACTTGTACCACATAAACCAACACATTCACCAATATCAATTTGTCTTGGATGCATAACAAAATTTAATGCATCACTACCTTGATCAAAATCAATTATAAGTGGACGTCGACAACATGGACTTTTTGGATCACAAGATCGTGCAGGACGTGGATGATTTATTTCACGTGTACCACGATGTCCAGATGATGATGATGAAATTATTCTATTATCATATTCAACTAACATATATGGTAATTGTTGTTGAACATCTTTATTATTATTTTCATTATGATTTGATTTTAAAAATTGTTCAAAACGTTTTCTTGAATAATAACGACGATGATAAGTTTTCCATGATGATTGAAATTCATGATTAATTGCAAGACCATACCATGGCATTAAAAATTGTTTATATATTTGTTGTATATTAAATTTTGTATTATTTGAATCAATAGTTAATTCTAACCAATCATCATTTAATTTTTTTATTTGACTTATTGTTAAACGTAATGTATCAGTAAAACCAGAAAATGGTTGATATGATGTATTATTTGATGTTGGACGAAATACTTGATAAATTTGAAACATATTTGGTGTTAAATAATTTTCATATTCATTAATAAAATTAAAAAAATTTTTTTTTATATAAATACGTATTTGTTTAACATTTTGATTTGTTGGTAAACTTGTTGATGTATGTAAGGATTTTGAAAAATAATAACAATTAATATTTTGTAAAAATTCTTCATTAATATGTAATTTTATTGATATTTGTCTTTGACATGTATGATATGGTATTATTTCACTAGGTAATATAGCACGTTCAGTTGTTGGTTGATTATTAATAAAATTTTGTTCTTGTTCATATATTTTCATTTCTTCATTGTGTTTAATATATTCTTGTTCTTGTGCTTGTTCTTCAAGTTGTTTAACAATTGATGATGGAATACCTGTACCATCATTATTTTGTATTGTTACATTAGGTGGTTCTTTTAAATTTAAACGATCAATTAAAAGACGTATAAATTGTTCAATTTGTTGTTCATTTGCTTGATTATCAATATTATTTGATGATAATGTTATTGATTCTATCAAAGAATCATCCGTATTTAAATTTGTATTTATATCATCATTAAATGAATATGATGAAGATATAAATGGTATTGTTGATATTGGATAACGTCGTTTTGAATTTATTCGAAAACGAGCTTGTAAAAATGATGATGATAATAAAAGTATTATATTTAAAATAATAAACCAAGATGTCATTATTTTTCCTTTATCAAAAAGTTGTGTAAAAATATTTTCAATCGATGATAATTATAAGGATATATGTAATATATGTATGTGAATTTACTTTTAACACTATATATATATATATGTATGTATGTATGTTGTGTCTTGAAATACGAGAAATCTTTTTTTTTATTTGAAATAAATGTTAGTTGTAAAATTGATGACGTTAGTAGATAATAGTAGATGTGTAGGTGGAATTGATATCATTTATGTTTTTGACTTAGCGAGAAATAACCGAAGACAAACGGGAAAGAGAGGGAGAGAGAGAGATGACGATGAACAATAACACAACAACCGGAAGAGATGAAGGAGAGAGAGAGAGAAGAGAATATGAGAGAAACTATGCAATAACTATCTTTCTCGTTTTTTTCTTTTTATCGCTCTCTTTTCTCTTTCTTTACTCTGTTGAAGGCGTTACCACTTCCTTCTATTTTATTTCTTGCTGTAAAATTGATATTAAACACGATAATATTAAGCAATGTTATTAAGAGAAAAAAAAACAAAACAAAACAAAAAGAATTAACAATAAATAATTAAAAAAAATAAAACAAAGAACAAACAAAATAGTCTTGTCTTGATAATCATCGCATGATTTTACGTGCATATTTTGAATTCAAAGAACAATTTTTTTCTTTGAAAGATATTTGATATATATGTACTTCTAAGGTCGACAAAGGACATCGTGTCTGTATCGATTTAGATTCACCTTTAGTACTCCGATGGCGGTACTTTTATCAAAAAAATCCTTTATTTAAAAAGTGATGTAATTATTCATTTTATTAAATATCAATCGATATCAATTCATAGGATTCTTTAATTTCTTCACATGAATTATCTACTCATAAACTTTTGTTGAGTTTTTATAGAAAATATTGAGCAAAAATAAAAAATGAGTATATAAATCATGTTTTTTCTTTTTTTTTAGAAATTTTAATTTGTTTATTTATGAACAAACTACTAATATGTTTTTTGTTGTTCTGTTATAGAAATATTTATTATTTATTCTTTCTCTTTTGATAGAGATTTTTCTCGAGCTTCATTATTTTTGTTATTCACATCGGTCAACTTGAACGATGGCGCGTCGATTATTTCCAGTTATGCTCATCTTTTCTAGAATAGAGTCGATAGACATAGGTCAAATTCTACTTCTTCTTTATTCTGTTATTGTTTTTGTTAGCTACTATTCACTGATAATGAGAATGATTGAGGTCAAATGCAATCTTGCATACCGTCGGCATCGTTTTTTTTTTCTGTCAAGAACAATTGTTCATCATATATTTTTTTCCTCTGGTATATACAGTTGTGATTAATGTAAATTTGCGTAAGACAAAAACAAAAGGTCAAATAAATTGTGTAGGCGTCATAACAATAAATCTTAAACATAATAATTATTATGAAGACATTCATTCTATGAATCATAACATTATGTTTATATGTGTGTGTGTAGTTGAAGGGCAATAATATCGAGACATAGGATTTTTTTTATTTTTTACATCATAAAGTATTTTCTTATAAATGAGAAACATATGTCTATCAAAAATGGTTTCATTTCGAAAACTAAAAGGCAATAGTTATCTTAATAAAACTCCTTTTTGTATGACTTCATCTATTTGTTTTAATTAAGTATATATAATTACTTACAAAGAATACGTAATTCAATATCTTTACTAACAACATGTCCATTGACACCATTTGATGCTCGACATTCATAATGACCAATATGATGACGTGTAACATTAATTAAATGAAGTTGACCATTTGTATTATTAGTTAATATTTGATTTTCGAATTTTGTTTGATTATTTTCATCTTTATTTCGACGAAACCATGTTATATAAGGTATAGGTCGACCTCGAGCTTGACATTCCATTGTTACATTATCATATTCATTTATTATAACTGGTGATGATGTAGCATTATCAATAATCATTGGAGTTTCTATTTTCAAAATAAAAAAAAAATTTTTTTAATGATATTATATAAAAATAAAATATGTATCATATTAAAAAAAAAGTTAAAATTGAAGATTTTTTTTCTCATATCTGCAAGTTCGAATAAAATTCAAAGACTTAAATGATTTTCCTATTGAATCGGAAACATGTGTATCATGTAGACTGTCACGGATTATGAACATTTTGGAAAAAGTTCAAGCCCATGGTATACAGTACTTTTTAATACAATGAAGAATACCAGAAAAACTGATGTATAGAGATAAACATTGGCGATATTAGTTCATCTTTTCCAAGACTTTTTCCTATGCAAAATTTTAAGTCAAATTTTGAAACATGAGTTTTTTTGTTATGTTCTCAATTATATTGAAAAATACCGTTAAAAATGATATAGGTCGCGGCAGCAAAAGGTTATGGATCTAAACTCTTTTCAAGATATTCATAACACATTAGATTCTATATGGCGTACATGCATTCGACTCAAAAGTAATTAATAAGTTTGAGAGCTTCCATCATTAGTGTAGAAATGATTTCCATGCTGAAAAATAAAATGTACTAAAAGAGTATTATAGAAAAATAACTTGAAGACCTTCAACAAATAATTAATAATCTATTTAAGGACTATTGTGGAAGCTTCTTGTAGGCTTTTTATGGTTGATGTTTGCTATGGTTTTCGTCTTTTTGGTACATTTCGATAAAGTTAAAAATGTACATGGTCAACATTCCTTTTTCTTTTATTAGTGAGTCTCTAAAAATCTATTTCGTCGAGGAATTATTCATTTTTTACATGCCATCATTATCTTCTCACAATGTTTCGTGTAATCGAATCGTATGTCTAGATATTTATGTTTGTGAGAAGCAAAATAGAAACTACACATTTTTATCAAATACGCAATTGATTTTCGTTTTATTTTTTTGAATTTTTTTAAATACTATACTAAATGAAAGAATCATAGGACTGTTGAATTCTCATTGGAATACATTCGTAAACGAAATATAATTTCAGAATGTAAATGATTAATTTTTTTTTATTGAATAATGATTTCTATATCGAAATACAACAATAAAAAAAGAAATTTCTATGATCTTCATGTTTAATAAAGTATTTGGTAATTTTGATAAATGAGTTTAATTAGAAAAACGATTTATTATTCATTCTGTTTGAATAAAATTTCATAGATTCATTTAATAATGTAATTTACTTAGAAAATAATAGTTATATATATTAAATAATGTCTTCTATGCATTCAATGGTTCGATATATAGTTAAATTCAGCAATTTATTAATATTTCAATGTTTATATGATATTCTTAAAGGTAATGATATATGAAAAGAAGATACTTCCATGAAACAACCTTATTCCTTAATAAATAATTAAACCTGTTCTTATTGTTTTCATTGATTCTACAGAATAAAATAGAGTATTTTATATCAATTATTCAGAGAAAAATTTTAAAAAAAATAAGTTATTTAGAACAATCTCAATCATTCACATTTCGGGATAGGCTTTTGAAACCTATTATACTCGATTGCTACGTCACTTTTTACATTCAATTAATTCAGTATTAATTCTTTCAATCTAAAATTATTGGTTAAATATTCGATCAAATAGTCTATGTAAATTTTAAACAAGAATTATAAAAGTAATTCGTTTTTTCTTTAATTTTGCGAGATCTAAGAGCAGATGTATGAGATCAAAATTTTACTTTACAAAGTGATAATCAATCGAAGATTTCAATAGTGCTCGCATAAATGAAATTTTCTAATATCGAAAACCTTATTTAAAACTTTTTTCTTCAAAATACATATCTCGGTATTTTTGGATGTTCTATCTATAATAAAAACTTCATGTCGGTCGGTTTTACCTACTTAGAAAAGTAAAAATGAATAAAACAATGAAGGAAAAAGTATTTTTCAGGCCATTAACTAGATCTAATCATTAGTCATATCTGTCAGAGATGTCCATCGCGGCGCTGCCGCTGCCGCGATGGCAGTGGCGGCGCGGTAGCGGCAGATTTTGTAAAAAGTCATCGCGGCAGCGGCCGGTTTTTTAAAAAACCATCGCGGCAGCGGCAGGATTTTTTTTGGAGGACATTGAAAAACTGTATGAATATAATAGAATTTCAGGATTTACAAATGAAACGCCCTGATATTGAATAAATCTGATGGACTAGTACCCATATCTCTGGTCAAATATAGTCACAGCAGTGAAATTAGAAACACTTTTTTGAAAACCGTCGCGGTAGCGGCACGTTTATTTTATAATTCATCGCGGCAGCGTTTCTTTTATAAGTCATCGCAGTGCGGCAGCGTCGCGGCAACATTTTTTTATAAACCGTCGCGGCGCGGCAGCGGCAGATTTTCAGCCGCGATGGACATCTCTGATATCTATCTCATTTAAATTTAAGCGATAGTTTATCATAAGATAGAAAATTTATTTCCAAAAAAAAGAAAACAGCGAAATAAATCTTTCTCTACATTAATTACGATTGAAAAAACAAAAAAAGACAAAAATCTTTCTATAGTTTATATTAACTTAAAAATAACAAATATTCTTTTCCGAAACTGAATCACAACTATGACGACTATAATATGTTTGATGAGATAATATTGATGATATAGTTTGTCTACGTCTAGTTTTAGCCATTTTTTTACGTGATATAAAATTATTTGGAAAAAATTGCAATATAATTAATATATAACAAAAACAAGATGCGATTAATTCACATAATGATGATGCTACTTCATATTGTATTTCATGTTTTACAATATATATCCATTCTAATGTAACTGATGCTGTTACTGTAACAACAAATATATATAAAACTGCTTTAATTCTCATACCATGAAAACGATGATAATATTCAGCAAAAAATTCAAATAATATATAAAAAGCTATATTATCTCTTGTTAATGTTATAAGATGTTTATTAAAGAAAACTGGTATAAATATAGCAAGTAAAACTTCTAAACGTGACATAAAACGAAATAAATGTCGTTGTTCAATTGACATATGAACTCGA